AGAGAGAGACAGAGAGAGAGAGAGAGAGAGCGAGGGAGCGAGAGCGAGAGGAAGATAGAGAAATGGAGAGAGGGAGAGAGAGAGAGAGAGAGATACTCTTCGATTGTGTTGCAGGAGCCGGTGCACGCCCAAAGAGACCCGAACACAGTTTGCACATGGTCTTGAAGAAAGCTGGCATTCCTAGAGAAGCCTGAACAGTGGTTTAGGATTTTAGAGTCTAGGGTTGGGGTTGGTTGCTCACGGTTCCTCATAGCAAACGATACCTTAATGTACCCCCCCCCAAATCCCCTTGTAATTATTTAGGCCGCCTACCTTAGATAACTTCCGTCAGAAATACAAACCTCATCCCACCAGAATCAACTCCTGCATGAATCCCACATGCCTAATCCGTACCCCGAAACCAAATCTAAGCTCCTGAAAGCCCTTAAGCCGCCATTACAAGCCTGCATCACCGAGGGCAGTTGCCGGAATGCCTGGCGGCATGCTGTACCTTGGCATGACTTCAGAATATACGAGCCTTCATGATTAGAACAGCATTCCTCTCTGTCTCTCTCGCTCCTCGCTTTTGTCTGCCTGTCTGTCTGTCTGTCGGGTTGTCTGGCTGTCTCTCTGTCTCTCCGTCTCTCTTTCTGTCTCTCTCTCTCTCTCTGTCTGTCTCTCTCTCTCGAACGAACACACATTTGTGAGCAGCGTAGTGCGGAGCCCACGTAGCTAGGCAGATAGACAGACCGATGCACAGACACGTACATAGCAGCTCTCTAGTTTCATTCGCTGTTGATCTAGAGGTCACTGCCCGGGCCGCCCATGACTAACGGAGCTGCTGTGCCCCTTGCACGCAGTTGTCTTGAAGGTTTAGGGTTCAGGATTGGAGGGATTTACAGTTGGGGGCTGAACGGTGGAACAGCTATCGTGTACTGTGCTGGTGGCACAAACAACCTATTTATGTACGATGTCTAACTTAAAGCAAGTATTTATGAAGGTCTTCGCAACATTCTGTTCGGGGACCCGTACACGTCTGGTAGAAGTAAAACAGTAAAACTGCCAACGACAAGAACTCATGAAGGTCTTATCTGCAGTGTGTTTCGGAAATTCTGAGTCGTAAGCCTCTGCCAGCAAGCATAGAGCGTGCAAGGACAAGAACACCTGGGAGTTCTGCTGCTGATCAACATCGACTTTGACTTGTGTATGATTTTCCTGGTCCCGAACCTGAAACCCTAAGCACGTAGGGCTCCGGGCCCCCCAAGCTCTTCACAGCGCTGCCGGGCGGTAGAGTTGCCCGGCTTCCATACCTTTTCTATTCGCTTCAGGGCCGAGGCACAAGACTACACAACGAGATCTGGACCATGCAAGCGCTGAGGTAAGTATGTATAGTGCCCCAAGCATGCAGCATCGAGGGGCCACTAATCCCTTACCCGAAACCCTGGCGCCCACAACTCATGATGCATCCTCTTTGACCCCGCAAACCTCCATCCCAAACCGCAAGCACCCTAAAGCCCGGAACCCCCAAAGCCGGGGAAAGCTTTGGAGGTCCGTAGCCATCGACAACCTTCCCTTCCGGTATCAGCTTTCTGAGGTCAAGGGGGGGTGGCTTTGGGGCGCTCAGGGTCCGGGACTCCACAGGGTTTAGCCTTTGAGTGTTGCGGGTTTGTAGGGTTTGAGCAGTTGGTTGTGCCTTTCGAGTTCAGCGTCGTGAGGTTTGGGAGGTAGACATTTGGGGAAAAACTGCGTTTTGGCTGAATCCTAGCGTCGGCCTACTGGGCAACAGGTTTCAAAGCAAAGAAGAAGTCGCAGCATGTAGCTGTTTTGCAGTGTAAGGCTCAGTACTACAGCTACAGCAGAGGTTGAGCATATGCGTCGAATCTACTCGCTGTACACTGTACATGTTTGTAGATCTGTGGCGCAGATTCGTTTTCGTGCGAATGTATCTAAGAAGTGCGCCTTCACGTGTTAGTGAGTAAGTGAGTGAGTGAGCCGCTCACTCGGGAGGCCAGAGCAAAGTACACCGGGCCTAGGGTGCTGTACGTTGGGTTTGGCTGGAGAAGGGGGGGTTCACCGCGGCATCGTATGAGCTTTTTGTTACAGTTGCGAAAATAATCGATTTTGATTGGTATGCTGTTTTCAAATCTCCTGCAATGTATTTTTTGCATTCTGAAAAAATACAAGGGGCACCTGGGCCCTAGAGTCGATGCCAAATAGGAACGCCCAACAGTCCTGATGGATCCTAATAAGTGAGCGAGTGAGTGAGAGTGAAAGAGAGAGCGAGAGAGNNAGAGAGAGAGAGGGAGGGAGGGAGGGGGCTACGCTCCTGCCCTAGCCCTGGCGCAAGAAAGCGAACGAGCGAGAGAGAAAGAGAGAGAGAGAGAGAGAGAGTTGCACTTCCTTCATTGTTGGAAACCGTCTTCCGCCTGCTTTGCAAGCGATGGATCCGTCAAAGTTTATAGAGATCCCGGCCGCATCGGGCAACTCAATTTTCAATCAGGCCTTCCGGCTTGATAATGAAAGATCTCACGATGCCCCCACCAGTGGTCGAAGGGCATACCATGTCGATGGCTGCCAGAAACAATCTCCTGAATGTCATCCCTGTAGCTGACAGACGCACTTACGCTGCTGCGGAATTGCCGGAGTGCCTTGCTACCGTGGCCACCATGGCCGTCAACAGAGTCACCCCGCTCCCGGCTCTACTCGAGTTGTCGATGATTTTGGGAGAGACGCCACTAACCGTCCTACCCATTATGAAAGGGAAGGCCAAATGGAAAGTGGTCAGCTGTGAAGGGGAGTTCTGGCCGAAGATCGCAAACATCTGCGATTTAAACCAGGAGGAACTGGAATGATGACCGGGGTACGTCGAGTGCCAGGCGCGATGACCAGGGAAGTTTTTCAAGCAAGGCCGGGGGGGCACTACAGCTCCGACCCTCGCGTCTACAGTGGGCGAGCAAGATCGGGAGAGAGCGAAGGAGAGAGCGAGAGCAAGAGCGAAAGCCAGTTTTGCGTGTGTGTGTGTGTGTGGATGCGTGCAGATGGTGACACATGTAACCAAACCATGGAGGGTGTGCTTATGCGGCAGGCTTTTCAATCATCGTTGTTGTTGTGTGAGCCCTACTTTAGAATTTAAGCAGATGGAATGCAGAAGCCAGCTCACGCAGTTGTGTCAATGCTCGTGGCATCAACTTACAAAGCCATCACCCTGTGCAGGCGGACCTGAGGGAGACGTTTCAGAGATGGGGTGCCATACAATCCGTCCAGGCAGCTTGCGCAAGTCACCACGGTATAACATCGTGCGAACCCAACATCACTCTTCTGTCGCTTCTGCTGGTGCTTTTGTGGTTGTTGTTCTTGTCGTTGTCGTTGCTGCCTTTGCTGTTATCTTTGCTTCGAGTATGACGGCGAATGCTGCTCCTCCTGCTCCTCCTCCACCTACTACGACGGGGACGACGACGACTACTACTACTACTACTACTACTACTACTACTACTACGCCTGCTGCTGCTACAGCTACGGCTACAACAACAACAACAACTACTACTACCACTACTACGACAAGTAGTGCATTGTTTCATGGCCATTTGGGCATATTCGCAGGGAATCCCAAGGCATTTGATGTGATAAGGACTACGTTCAAAGGTGCCTTAGCCGGAACCACCAAGTGCTCAAAGCTATGGTTATGAAAGACCTGCTTTCTGGGTCCTTCGTTCCATGTGGTGAACGAAAGCAGCCACTTCTGTAGGATCCTTTGTTCTGTGAGATTCTCGCGCGTCTCAGAGACGTGTTTGACCCTGGGGGTGTAAGAGAACGCCCTTTCAAACTTGAAGAGAACGAATGCCGAAGCTGAGAGGAACTTTGGCCCGGCTCGTAAACCAAATAGTTTGCCATTAACCGTACAATCCTAACCCTGAACCCACATGCAATGACCGTAAACCCTAACCCTTAATCCTTCCACAACATCTTCCAAGCCCAACAAAGCCAAGCTTCGCCAAGCCCCAAAACGCACAATGAGACCTAGACCTTCAAGACGCAGAAGTGTTTTTGGGAGTGTAGGGTTTAGGGTTTAGGGACCCTGAGCCCTAAAACGAGCCCAAAGATCAGGTCCTGCGGGATGGGGCTCGGGAGGTCGGCTCTGTCCAGTTTGCTGATCAGGCTCGGTCCCCGCTGTGTTTTTGTGTTGATAGCTTGGGGCTGTCTTCCTTTAGTCATCTTTAGTCTCAGTTCTTTCTGGATCCTTGATACTTCTTCACCTGATCGACAGCGTTGGGACTCTCTTTCTTGTGGCTGTTTTTTGTACAAAATACTTCAGTTGCTATGACCATCAGTTCTTCTTCTTCCTGCGACTACTACGACTACTACTACAACAACAACAACTACTACTACTACTACTACTGCTGCCGCTGCTACTACTACTACTACTACTACTACTACTACTACCACCCACTACCCACTACCCACTACCCACTACTACCTACGACCTACTACCGGATACGTACTACCTACTACCTACTACCTAC